GGTATACCACGACGTTGCTGAAAGGGAGAGGAAAAAAGAAAAGAAGAGAAGCAGGATAGACAGTTCCCATGATTAGTGAATTTTAGTCACTTGTCATGGAATAATTAAGATATGACTACTTAGAATTATGCTTTTTTACTAAGTGTTCTAAGTAAGTATATTTTCACAGGTTGAAGAAAACAATACAAAGTATGATGTTAAAAGAACAAAGAATCGTATAAAAGAGATGATTCAAAAATGCTGAAAGTTAAGGATTGTGCATTTTTAAAATTTAATGAGGAAAGCGTAATGTCCGGGTACCATCACGACTGAAACGTATATTTACGGTGACTGTAATATTACTCTAATAATAAAGGATCCCAGTATATCTGATTGCACTAGCTCAACCTCTGTCACAGTAAAGTCTAATACAATAACAATGAAATCCTTGACGTTGGACGAGCTTGTCTCAATACACCTAAGTATCTATGAACTATATAAAAATGCGTATGGAGATAAACAGTTAATGTTCACTTTGGAGATTATTTACAAATATGCTACCTGATCGAATCAGTGTGTTCACCTATCTCATCCAAACACAGCGTCTGCAACAAAAGGCTTTTTATCGCTTAATTCATGTCCAGTATCATAGAAGGGTTTGCTTGTTTTAATATCACCTGGTCGTCCAGTAAGCTTTCTACTCTCCGTGATAAAAATACAGACAGTACAACCTGTCTGTAAATGTAAGGGTTATTTCGTTCTCTGAAAATTCTGAAGTGTTTAACTTTGTTTCAATATCGTCTTAGTTAATCAGTCTCCAATAAGCCTTTAAGTCAACTAACACTTTTGAGGAAGGGAAACCAGTTCAATGCTTTGATTTAGTCAGTGATGTGAAGGTACAACCAGGTGAGTCTCAGGGTCTCATTTTCGACAGTGTCCCTGATACCAATCCGGGATAATTCTAGGAACTTTTAGTTATTCCTCGTTTTTGTGTAGAAAAACCCAGACTGGTGGTTGTAGTAGGTTCTTATTCAGATCACTGCCGTATAACTTATAGCTATTATAACCATACGTCTTAGTTGAATACTTGTAATTTACGAATAGACTTTGGCACCTGAACTGGGATTTGGTTTTCTAGTTATTTGGGTCGAAGTTTACGAGTGGATCAATCAACCGTGCTTCAACAACCGACAGGAAAGAATTTGGGTGCAACGAATATAATGCCCATAAAAATAAGAGAGTAAATAAATGCTTGAGTTATAACGTTTTGACGTTGCCATGATGGTTTCGGTTGACCTCTACGTAGCCGACTTATATTTTTACACCAGCTTCCTCCGAGAATAGACTTCCGTAGGACTGTCGGTTTGATCAATTTATCAAATAAAAACATGTCAATTAGGCATATACAGCCTTATGAAGAGCTACCGCAACTCGTTCTATGTTTGACCATTTCACCAGTGACCACCATTCGGTCTATATTCAGAAATAGTGTACGGATGTTGTCAAGGTAGATGAGATGTTGCAACGTTGACCGTGTTTGGTTGCGCCGACAATCCAGTTCTGAGACCCATGTCAACAAATTGTGAAATCGTTCATGCTTGTGTTGTGTGAGATCTGTAGTTCGGCGTTGGAATCCAGAGTCGGAGACAATGTCCAACGGAAGTGTGAATATATTTACTCACATTATTGTTGTTTATGCAGTTGTAATTGGCATCGTGACAGTATTGTTGTATCATAGAATGAACGTGCTTTAATTGATGTATAAACAGATTTCTATGCTGTAATTCGTTTACTTGATCTGGTTCGACAGTTGAAGACAGTTGATTACACCATCTACCACTCTATAATGAGGCCAACACTTCGTTTATGTTGCTGACCATTTCTGAATTTGATTTTGGTCTGGTTTTCGAATTGAGTAGTAAGTGGATATACTCTTCGCTTGATTTTGAACTGATTTGACTGTGGCCTTCAAAATTCTTCACGAACAGATCGTTATCGTTTTTGATTGCTCTTCTTTATGACGTCCGTATCTGAGATGAGACGTGGAAGTATAGCTGAGTTGTACTGTTAATGACAACGGTTGCATTGATGCCTGTGATAACATACTTAAAATTTGGGACTCCATGACCAAGTTCGGTGATGTAGCTAACTGAGGTAGAGCATCTTTCAGGCCCCAAGAGTATATTCTTAATCGCTTAGACGAGAATCCTTTGGAATATTCTTGCTTTGTACGACAGTTAGATTCAACGTTTTCTGGCGAAGATTTAAGTGTAGAGATTTAGTCAATGTACTTAAATTGTCAGTGTACTGGAGCTGCAGCAAGTGCCATTAAATGTCCCAGTCTTCTGCATGCAGATCAAAGTTATGAATAAGATTCTCGCTCAGAGATTTGGGAAATCATGTATGGTTGGTTGAAGAATGTTTGAATTGGAAAATTTAATTGGGTGTCAGATCAACCCTGACGTGGAAGACTTTGATAGTTAGTTGCCGTACAGAAACAATGGTTATAATACCCAAATACAGTTCAAAAGATAATACATCAAATAGCGAGTATAGTACTTTATCAAACACGATTTTACATTTTTTTAATATCAGGGAGAGGTCTGAATAGATCAAGTAAATACTTAAAGTACGTGGATTATAGCATCCGAACACGATATAAAGAATAGAACGCAAACATTGATTGTATTTCTTCGTCAAATATCATTATATATGGTTTAAAAGTGATAGAATACGGTTCTATCGGATTGCTGAAATGAATAAGTAGTTATAAGAATATGATCTTAAATATGTTAAACTGAAATGTTATCATGGAGTATGAGATTTACGGTTCATATTGAGTTATTTTCAATAATTCCAAGAAAAAATAATCCATCCAGCTCTTTGTGAATCCTAGAATAATAGATATGAAGGTGTTAGCTTGAAAGTAACGTCCAGTTTATGGCGTGCATCAAATCGACCCTCGCTGTACTTACTACATTACTCTCATTAAAGTAGACGTAGTGCAGTTCTGATCTATGTGAGTCGGATTTTGTAGCTTATTATTATTATTGGTTTTAGTTCTGTTGTTCTGCTGTCAATAGTAAATCTTTCAGCGTGGAATAAAGTAGGGCTGTAATGTTCATAAATAGACACAACAATATAGCTTCTTAAGTTGTTGGATCAAGAACGCGTAGTTATCTGCAGCTGTCACTTAAAACTAAAAGTTACAGACATGGAAATCGATCAACCAGATGATCATTTGTGTGTCCGGGGAAATCCAGCTAGCCGGCTGCAACCTGATATTTCTGGATGTTTACAGTAATGCCGTGCTTTTGGAGTTGTTCAAAAACGAGTTTCAGGTGTTGAAGATGAGATCCTCTGTTCGGTTTTGCAATCATCTACATATGTGTGTGAGAAATTGAAACATCTAACATTGTCGCTGATGAACTCCTGTAAAGTTTGTGCAGCATTTCCCAAGCCGAAAGACGTGCAAAAGTTTAAAGAGTCCGTATTTGTCGTCGACAACCTCAAGTTAGACAATAATCCCTGTTGTCTTTATTAGGAACCAAATGCAAGGGAGATAAACGCCGAGTGTTCGGTGGCCTAATAAACTCAAAGTATATCATGTGGACGAACTCTCGAACTCTTAGCAAGATTTCTCTTGCTGAGCCATATTGGAGCTCGATATTGTGGCAGAATTGGGTTAAAGTTTGTCAGTCTGTCAGGTCTTCACGTTTAAGAATAGTCTTTTTTAAGGTTTCGTGATGCGGCAAAACATCACCAGTAAGCATACTAGGTGGGACGTACTTGATGGAATCTGGTAGTAGTGCCTTCACTACACCAAGGAATTATGTATACGGATCTGTCATGCCGTGCAGGCGAAAGTCGGCTTCTGCGTAACAGAACCAAGCTTCTATATTACCCAGTCAAAATAGCATTAGTTGAAATAAGGGAGACGAAAGAGGTTTAGCCATACGCAGCTTAGGAGTCTTTTCCGTCACGGCGGGCGGAAAAAATATTCAAAAAATAAAAAAACACATCACAATATGTAAGAATAAAAGTTAAAAATGATGTGTAATATTCTAACAAGGAGCAGACTCACAGTTTACTGCTTGATGCATCACATAATGTCGGTCTCACCACCGAAGATGTCACGGGTATTCGGTACATAACAAAACCTTTGCACGTAACACCTTCATAACCAAAGTACGCCAACCCAGTAAAATCAGAAATGAAGAAGTTCGAAAATATTTTTGAATGCTATCGGTATGTCGAGAAGCGTTCGGTCTGTAGCGCGGTGTCGAGTTGGGATTAACTATGAACACCGCTACCAAGAAACACGTGCCAAATAAATCAGAAGGCGTAGGTTGAACGTAACCAAAGAAACCCGTAAAACCCCCGAGAAGCCAAATACCAGAAGGCAAGTAATGGACCAAGTCGAGTTATATTTGCTGGCGATCTCGTGGCATCGAAAGGATACCGAGATCGTGCCAGGATACAAGCTTGGTTACAGAACGTAACCGAACTCGCGCGAAGTCACAATCAAAAGTGCAAGTATAAGAATGGAAGCACAAAATAGCTGTCATTAGCACAGTCAAACAAAAGCACGTTAAAACAAACACTGGTACAGTTGGTTATAATAATAATTGTTTTTATTAAACCAGTCGTGTTCTCGTGATAAATGTGAGTCACTACAGGTCTAAGCTCGCTATTAGTTACAATGGATGCGCAGCACGGCGTATCCACTCGTGACCTGATGTGGGTGCATCATCAAGCGCCTTCGGCTAAGTAATTCCCGTAAAACCGGTGAAGCCAACATCAATGTCAAAGACATACAGAGCTATCTGGTTTTGGTATGTATTTACCGCTAGGCATTCAAAATCACAAATAACTACAGAAATGAAGAAAACTGGTGGAATGGAGTGGCTAGAAATCCATCTGCTTGACGTTTTTAAAGATTTGAAAAGATACTGAAACAACATGAGGCGAAAGCAAAGAAATCGATCGGTTTATACGAGCCAGTCACAAGGATATTGGACAGTGGAAAGACCGCGTTCCTCAGATGTGGCGTTGATCATCTCTGTATGGTTCGTCCACAACAATTTCAGTGTAATCTACAATATTTCTAGTGTTCATTCAAGGTTCGCTTGCAAAATCCAATTTTTTATAAGCCAAATTACAAAGTAGAATGGAACGGCATGACGCACATATAGTGGAACTTTAATTCTACTAAACAGGTAAACATTGTGACTTGAAAAATGCCGTTGTGTGCAAAATAGTAAATTTGACATTATAGAAAAAATCTTGCATGATTTCTGAATGCTATGTAAATTTTCTTCGACTGTTGTTGACAGGCGAATATTTGGGGGGGGGGTATTTGTTCCCAGGCTGTCTAATTATGTTTCTTCTTCACTGTTCTTGACACTTTGTACCATATCCCTTTAATCTAGCAAGTTGATACTTTACGGACGCTACAGTTTTAGGAACCATTACTTTCAAAGTCACTGTCCGGCTTTATAAATAGCTGTATAATCTTGCTTTCTAGGTGTACCAGTTGCTATTTCTCAGAAATTTCATAATTTGATTACAACAGCTTTATACTAGCATATTGTGCAAGTATTTCGTTACATTCCATTTATCAGGTATATCCGTCCTATCTTTTCGTTACTATGGGTCAGTTCGTTACAATTCCATGATATGTCTTATTTGCAACCACCCTAATAGTTGGTACATTCCCTTTGTCTTGAGTCTAACTAGTCGAAAGACTCGGTGGATGGAGATGAATGTCATAATCACTGACAATAAACAGTGTTACATAGTGTGTTGCAGTATTGCGTGCTCTATGCTAGTAATTCCTTAGCGACTAACTCATTAATCTGCAAAAGTTATTTGTATCAATACATAATTTATTTGATTTCTTGTATTTTAAGTAACAGTCGAATTAAATTTAACTCTCCTCCCTTTTTTCAGGTTTTATATCTTATCATAATTAGAAAAGTGATATTTGTGTTGAGGAAAATGGATATTTGTCGGGCTGTGAAAAATTATCTTAACAGAATGATTTCAGTAGCTGATGGTGGTATGAAAGTATTAATGGTTGACCAAGAAACATTGAAAATAGTCAGTGTAGTTTGTTCAATGTCTGAAATTATGAAATATGATGTCTATTTAATTGAACGTATTGATGCACCGCGTGAATCTTTGGAACACTTACGTTGTATTTGTTTCTTAAGACCAACAAAAGAAAATATTAATTTTTTATTTAAAGAATTAAGGAGACCAAATTACTTATCCTACCATTTATTTTTCAGTCATTCTATAACTAAACAGTTACTGAAACAATTAGCAGAAGCTGATGAAAATGAATTAGTGGTAGAAGTCCAGGAGTACTTTGCTGATTTCATCCCATTATCACCATTTTTATTTGAACTGGACATACCAATTAGTCTAAATGAAAGTAGAAATTTGAGAGACGGTGTGTTGAATCGATCAACCGATGGTCTAACATCCGTATTATTAGCCTTAAAAAAATGTCCAATTATACGCTACCAGAATGCTTCAGAGGTTGCACGTCAACTAGCTGAGTCGATACGGTCATTTATATCACGAGAAACTGTAATATTTGACTTTAAGCAATCAGAACCTGTTCCTGTCCTGCTTATATTGGATAGAAGACAAGATACAGTTACACCGTTACTATCACAATGGACATATGAAGCTATGGTTCATGAGTTGATTGGTATTACACAGAATCGTGTTAGTTTATCTAGAGCGCCAAATGTCAAGTCGGAATTAAAAGAGATTATTTTAAGTCGTGAATTTGATGAATTCTATCGAACTAATCAATTTTCCAATTTTGGTGATATTGGTCAATCAATTAAACAACTTATAGAAAACTTTCAAAAAGCTTCTAAATCTGTGGATACCAAAAATTTAGAATCAATTGGTGATTTAAAACGATTTTTAGAGAATTTTCCTGCTTTTCGTAAAACATCCGGTACTGTCGATACACATGTTACATTAATGTCAGAATTGTCTAGGATTGTTAAAGAACATGCTTTGCTAGAAATAAGTGAAGTAGAACAAGAACTGGTATGTCGTGATAATCATTCTTCAATCTTATCACGTATTAAAAGTTTAATAAGCGACCCAAGGATTCTTCTCTCAGATGCCTTAAGATTAGTTCTTCTTTATGCTTTACGTTATAGCAAGCAAAAACAAGAATTAGCTGGATTAATTCAATCACTTGTTACACGTGGCGCGACAGATGGTGATATTCGAACTATTGACAACTTATTAGAATATTCTTGGCCGGTCTCAGTTTTCGATGGTTTCGACTTATTTCATGTCATGAAGACTGGAAGTGTCAACACAACAACAACACCACTTGTTGATGGTCAAACAGCCACAAAAGCAATGGCTTCATTAAAAAAACGTTTAGTTCAAGAACTAAAAGGTGTCAATAATGTTTATACACAACATGAACCATTGTTAGTTGAAATTTTGAATAAATTAATTAAAGGTCAGTTGCCTGATGCTTCATTTCCAAGTTTAGCTACTGGTACTTCTTGGAAAACTATACCTAGTGGTCAACGTCCAAAAGAAATTATTGTATTTTTCATTGGTGGTGTTACTTATCAAGAAGTTTGTAGTTTGCATAGAATAAATTGTTCCACACTGGGTGTCGATATTGTTTTAGGTGGTACATGTGTTCATAACTCAAGGACGTTTTTGCAAGAAGTTTGTTCAGTGACAAAAAGTGTCGGCATTGCAAAATCATCAAATTCTGTGGAACCAACCCGTCGTTTATATGGAAATTCAAGAAGTAACATCCTTTACGGATTATTACAATAAATATTAGTAGTACTAATTATTATTGTTGTTCGGATTAAATGCACATCTTATCTGTTGTCCAATTGTCTGTGATAATCGTTTCATTTTTTGTTGTCTTGTGTACCTTAATTTTTTCAATATACGTATTGCGTCAGCAAACAATGGTTGTTTTTTTTACTAATTTTGTGGCAATATAAACATTAAATTTTGTTGAATATACGACAAATACTTTCACGATGGTCTTATACGCTCATTTTCTGATAAAAATAATTTATTTCAAAAATCCAAAGTTTCGGAAATGGAATAATTTACATTTGATGTGTTCCGCGTCTAATAGGATAAAGATTAAGCACACATATACCGTGATTACCACGAGTGTACTGTGACAGCGTTTTACGAGTCAGTCAGTTAGTCATAGGCAGCGTAGAACCTGGCGTAAATGTGTATTTGCTCAAGTTGGTACACTGTCAGCACAGCGGAATGAAATTACTTCATATATGTTTTAAAGTAGTACTGTGAATGTTTTCATTGGCATAGTGTTCATTAACTAATCATTGTGTGTTTAAAATCACTAAATAGTTGAACATATTTAGTTCAATCGGGATGCGATTTCGGGAGACGTGTTTTTGGAAAGTCAATAAGCCTTCATTGGAACAGTCATCTCTGCTATTACTTTGGGCTATGTGAATTACAGTGGTTCATGTTTCCAAGTATAAGGAGTAGAACCACACACAACAGAGGTATCACGAACATAGCAATTGAGATATGACATCTGGAAATATCTCTGAATTTTTTCGTAGTGTTAGACTAGTGTTTACTCAGTGATGACAAAATCGGGAGTATTTATACCATTCTGTTTAAGGCGCACCCGATGAATGTTTCTGGATCCAAATGTCGGTATCAAGAATAAGACTCACGCTTCGTTCCCATCCTTTAAAAATCGTTAACGAGTAGTCGACAACCACTGAGCTAAGTCTGAATAACTGATAGTTAATGCCAGAAAACATGGTTTGATTCAATAAATTAAACTTCAGTTCTATATAAAGGACATTTTGTTTGACATTACTACATTGAACTTGGAAGTTAATAATTTCCTAAATCTAGTCACTATCGAATATATGATCATCGTTTAACCCTTGGCTTAAAGTTCAATGGTCTGTGTGAGGTTGCTGACGAACTACTGAGGAGATCTAATTCAAGCCGAGACATCCGTCAAGTACTCCTTTATTTTCTATAGTTTCTCAACTGAAAACGATTTATAATGGAACATGTTTAAAAGATGAGTAAACTAAAAGGCGGCAGCCATCTTGCTTCTGATAGGAAAACAGAGGAAATCAAGTTCGATTTGATGGACACACTTAAATTTAAAAAATTAAAGCAAATTGAAACAATTAGGAAAACCTTTGTTTAAATGATTAGTTACACGAAATATTAGTTTTTCGAGAATTTCTTGTGTCAAAAAGTAGCTCATAAACGAAACAAGTAACTGAATGAGAACTCATTAAATGAACGCATATATTGGCCATGAAATGTAATGTCACTAAATAGTGCGATTGCACGTGTAAAATTTATGTTGCCTACAGAAATCACGCTCATACACTTCCTGTGGTCTTGCTAACAAAGTATACTACCAAGTGACCTTGAAAATTTTACCCAGATAGCAGATATGAATAAGTGAATTATAATATAAAATGGGAGAATTTATCTAGAGTAAATTGTTTTCACTTAATGAGTGGACTTTTTAGAGCTGTTAGCAGGATCTTATTTATTAGAGTTTAGGGTTAGGATCCGGTATCAGGGTTAGACCATAACTCCAAGTCCCAACTCTAATCCTGAATCCGAAACCCCGAATTCTAAGCTTATAACCTAGTTTTAATCATAACCTTCAGTATCTAATGCTGACTTACTCGTTAATATTAATCATATTACTGTCGGTACTCAACATCATGATTTGATATAGTTCAATGAACGTCAGGTTAGATTGGTATACATATAGTGACCTTGAAGTGGCTCTGTCGTTCCTAATTGTGTCGTCAATGTACTTTAGGTCTACTCTTAATCAATTTCTAGAGTATAAATTATTGTAAATAGTACGGGAATGAAAAATAAGTAGTGTCGCTCAGGAAGAAATGAAGACACGAGTAGATAGAGAACAGTGGTGAGACCATAAAATATGTTTGTGAAAATATTACAGTGAGTTTTGATTGGCAATCACATAAGGATAGGCCTCAAGTTACGTCCTTTATCTGTCAACCCAATAATATACAGGTGAGAACTCGCCTCGACTTACGTTAAGGCCTTGATACGATAGACTAATCGTTTCAACCTTGAAGCTAGAAATGCGTGGGTCCAAATCGGGACTAACAACTTTGAGCAGAGAGACGAAAACTACCCTATCACCTGACTGGTCGACAAGAGCGCGTGCGAGAGAGTAGACGAGTCAACTGGAACACTACTTGATTTATTCCTGATTCAGATTAATGTGAAAAGATATCTGTATCAATATATGAGTAACACGACCACAAGGTACGAACAATTAGAAAAATACAATTATGCCTAAACTAAACATTGGGGTAGGAAAATGGAATACAAAAGGTTACGTTTAGATTACAATAGCTTCGGAATAGAAAAGGTTACGTCTGTGAATCATGCATGAAATGAAAGCTTATGGCTTATAGAATAACCTAGGAACAAAACTAAATGTAGGTATTTTACAAACTTTGAATTAAGTGAAATGATTTCCCCCAAAATAGCTTCTGTTGTTCTTCATGTCTTTTTTATTTCTTCATTCACATCACCTCACCAAGGTCAAACTGGATCTGATTAGTAGATGTCTGAACTATGATTTAATCGTTCAACTGTTTAATTATTTATTATGAACAATACTTAATGATCATATTGAGTGAGTTTCATACATATTGACACATATGAACATTTTAAAAATATAGCTAACCGTCAGCACTTGAATATATCTTAGGGACAGTGAAAAATTTGAAAAAACAGATACGTTTAATCGTTTGACAATTATCATGTGATAACATAAACAACGTCTTATCTATGTGTTGTTTTCCTTGTCTCTTTCCTCTCAACAGACATTATATACATAATTCACTTGATATTGTTTTACATGAATCTTCCCATTGATGTTTTAGGACAGCAATTGATCAGTCTGTTATTGGCATATGTGCATACTGTGCGTATGCCTCGATATTACCTTAATTCACAAGCTATTTGTAAGCAATGATGGATAGTGGCTAGCAGTGGAATGCAGTTTGACGCGCGTTTCCTCCTATTTGGCACTCGTCAGTTGGATGTACCTGCATCTCAGAGAGTTGATGTTCACTCTGGGACTCGAACCCAGTATCATTCGCTTCAAACGCCATCGCCTTATCCACTTAGCTACTGAGTCCTGACGAAACGCGCGTCCTGGATTCCACTGCTAGCCACTATCCATCTTTCATTATATACATAGGCTAGATTTTTAAAATTTTCACGTGTTGATTTACATAACATATTCATCACGCTACAAGATACAATGTGCTCAAGAATAGGTATCGGTTTCTGTGACAACGTGACAAATGACAGAGCTTGTACTTTGCACGTTATTACCGCCCATAATTGGAAGAAAATGTGATCTGTCGTTAAGCCTGACTTTTGTATCAATTTAAAGAAATAAACGACCAATTATAACGAACCTAAAACTAGCTATTTGATTGGACTAAAACAGAATGAAAATTATTGGAAGATGGGGATGAAAAAAAAATTCCACTCAAAAAAAATAAAAAGTGGCCGTGCAATCAATGTTAACCCACCAAATAAACAGTGTAACCGTACGAGACTTTACGTAACTGATTTTCCCACATACGATTTAAATAAAACAAAACTGTGGCATTACAACAGTAATATTAATAACGTAATAATCTTTCTATAACTTTTTTCCAAACATAATAGACTAAACATTCCAAAAACTAGAATTACTACAAAGATGACTAATAACTAGTGGAACAACAATAGTTAGGATAAGACTAACCAATCAAGTGTTCAATAATACTTAATTTAACGATGCAGTGAGAATAAAAGATGTAGGATGTAGTTAGACGATGAGTACCATTTTGTTTATGTCGGTAAAGCATTGATCATTTTGTAAATGTTATTATAGGTCAATTCTATCTATTAACCGTGTTCGATTTTCGACTTTTTTAAAGGTTCAATAGGTTGTGTGAGAAATGATAGCTGGGATTATACGTCCAAGAAGCACAACTGTGATTGAAATAATCAAGCATATGTATGTAGTTTCGGGCTTGATTTGCTTAGCAACAACAATGGATCACAATAAATAACACAAAGTTGTGGAAGGTTACTATTCAAGTTTTTAAGAAAAGAGTTCTGTACAAAAATACCAAATTTTCAGGTACATTTCAATGATGTTTTTGATGATTCATTAAAGTTAATGAATTTTTCGATCTGAACTATTCAAAACTTTTAAATAATAGTAAGAACCTGAATATTAATTTCTGAGAGTACTGTTTATTGAGTAAAGCAGTTTAATCTATGGGCATTGGAAATCGTATACACGCTATTACATTATTGATATTTATTGCTCCTCAATACTTTCAAATTTGTCAGTAGACCAGATAAGTAAGTGATATCTAACTCAGTGTACTTCTAATCATTGGTTGGACCAGTTGTGAAAATATTGTTGATGTATAAATAAATCTACACTTGAATTCTTACCTTTCTCCTTTAGTTATGCTTTATCAAGATTCGTTCAGTTATAACAAGTACCAGTTATTTCGTTATTACAATAAATCGACAAAAACTATATCACGCTTTCACAAAATAAAACTATGAACTGAATGTATTAGTGGTTATGAATGGGTCTTCATTGCAGGAAATTATTAGAAACCTAGTATGGTACTACATTTTAATGTGAAGTTAGCGTTTATGTGATCATCTCAACGTCTGAACACGACCAGTATGGACGTGAGACTTGAAGATTCCTGAAGTACAGTCTGATGCATGGTCATATGAATGTGTGTGAGCCGTAGAGACCTAAAACTAAAATGAAACAGTTATCCAGAATAATTGTGAATTGAAACGCTAAATATGTAGACACAAGGCTGGATTTCGTATTTTAAATTGTTTAGAACTACAGT